TTAACCATCTCTCAACGCGTCGTCCCCTGTGGGTCAGCGCACCGGTGCAGATGAGCTCCTCGCTCAGCTTTACAAAGTTTATCCGTACCTGACGTTGAGTCCCCTATGGGTCCTTGCCTCGATCGCTGCATTGACCGTCTCGTTACTCATCGTCCAGTTCGGCAGCACCTTGATCTCACGTAAATTTTTTCCTCACACAGTGGCGAAGCTTTAGTTCATCCGCCTAAGATCAACGCTTCGGCGAACACAGAAGATCGACCCTCAAGTTCTCACAAATCACGATCCCCATCCCGAAGCGTACATACCCGATCGGGAAGACAAGTCCACCACCACATCATGCGAGGTGTGGAACACTCATCCGAAGTGGTTCCGAAGTGACTTCACCAATAGTGACGATCTGCTATCACACTACGAGACATAGACATAGGTAATCCTGTGGGACTAACTGAAGCGCCCTCGCCCCTGAATCCGATGTGAAATGCACTCTGATGACCTTGGTCAGAGGATCCGCTACCAATTTCAGAATAAGATCTTGGTCAAAATCTTTTCTGCCCCTAAGGTTTAAAGTGATATGATGTCTCCATGATGCTAGTTGATATGACATATCAACTTTATGTCAATTCAACTCGAGAGAAGTAATTATCCACCCACTCTATAGACGCGGCTGATTGACGCCTATGAGCAGACGCCTCATACCGTTCAGATGTATACATGTGTCCCACATCCAACGGTTCTCCTCACCTATAAATACCCAAGGCTTGGCAAGAGGCAAAGGTAATGAAACTCTTACTACTTAATACTCCATAACAAGCAAATATATATATATATATATATTCTCCTCCCCACTATTTTGCACAACCTTGGTACTGTTCAGATCACATGAGCCTAACTTGACCGTCGGAGTGTATACGGCTGCCGCCGCCCTCGCTAGTTCTCGCCGTGTGCATCTGATCGTGCGTTGATTGTATGCAGGGAGAAATACGTGGAGTGGCTATCGATTGGCCATGTGGAAAGTCCAATTTTCGAGGTCAACACTAGATATGAATGTTTTAAAAGCATGTTAATCGAAATAGTTGATAATATAACCATAAATTATTGGTTATAAAGTTAACATCGAGCCTGTGTTTTTTATTCAACAGTATCGGTGACAAAACCATGTGGCCATTCGTTCTTGTTGCATTTCGGATAAGATACAAAGAAGTCCTGATCAAGGCGCACGCCTTGACATTGGCCGTGGCTCCCAAATACTTGACACCTCGAACCAACGAAGAAACTAAATGTAAGACCATAGAAGCTGAAACTGATGCTTGTTTGCTCGAATATTTTATCCAACATTTTATAGATATCCATTCTTATCAATATTACACTGCTTGTGTTCCTCATAATGGATATCTCAGATGTTGAAAAATCTTATGCATTACTACCAAGGGGGCTTTAGCTGTTATGTAAGACCATAGAAGCTGAAACTGATGCTTGTTTGCTCGAATATTTTATCCAACATTTTATAGATATCCATTCTTATCAATATTTCATGGTTATTCATTTTGAAGTGTACGAGGCTGGTCGAACTTCAATAGCCGTATTTAAAAAATGGCAGATGGATTGCTCCTATTGTCATGACTGAATAACTATATTTAAATACCTAGAGTTCTATCACAATCTGACTTGCCTCTTCAAAATCTGTTGGAGTTGGGCTTCAAACATATGGTACTAGTTGAGTTATTAAATTTCTATGAATTTGTGGACTTCAATGTAAAGAAAATTCCTCAATGGTTATATAGATGGTTGGGACAGAAAATTGGTGTTACTTATCTCACATTTTATGTTATTATCCCACGATATAGTGCATTTATTTCAACATTTTTAAATTCGGAAACCTCTCCCCTGCAATCACAAATTACACTGCTTGTGTTCCTCATAATGGATATCTCAGATGTTGAAAAATCTTATGCATTACTACCAAGGGGGCTTTAGCTGTTATCTTTACTTGTGTCTTTTAGAGAGGTCTAAGCCACTCTGCTAGCTAGTTACAATAAGTCATTCATAGATTGTTCTACCATAGTTTTAGCATATAACTTGGACTTAGAATTATTGTATTCATTTGGTGCAGTTTTTTTATTTTTTTATTTTTATTTTTTTTATCGTATGCCATCGCTTTTGCGCATCAGATCATAGTTGAGTACAGATTAGCACCTTTCGAAGACAATCCATTTAAGACTGAAAGCAACTAAAGGGGAGAACAAGAATCAAGAACAACTATGCTGGAACAAAAATGGGATTGTATGGTAGACTTGCTGAAATCCAAGAAATATGTCTATAGTCTAGCCATGAACAGAACCTGCAATACTTTGCATCTCTCTGTTGGAGATTTAAACCACAATTTAAATATATTTTACACCACGATTGGATATGCTCTGAGATTAGTTTTGAAAGAATGCCTATAATATGATTTATAGCCACATTGAATTGATGAAGGAAAAGAGCTTGCATCTGCATTCTACTTCATCCTGACAATAGGTGGTTTGGAACATTCTCAACATTGAAGGTATTTTTGGCGTGTTGTAATGGACAGGAATGGAGATGATTGAAAAAGAGAGACTATGGTATAATTTTAATTTTATTTCATCAAAACCTTTCAATTCAAAGTCCTAGAAATATAATTTTATGTTGAACAACATAATCATTAATTCCAAGCAAGGGTACGAATTTTTATGGAGGGCATTTTTCTTTTCGAATAATAATATCTTACAATTATTATCAATTAATGATTTTATGATTTAGCACTTGGTTTATTTTTAGAAGTCCAAAAAAATTGCTAAAACTTATGCTGTGGAAAGAACTATTTTAAATCTTAAAAGTTAAAAATTGATAAGGGAAAAATTCAAAAGTCGGGGTTAAGTATGATAAATTCAATTTTAAGTGTCAAATTTCAAAATGTAAAACTCAGATATTAGCTAATTAATTAAAAATATTTATTAATTAAATTTAATGGGGTCACAAATATACTATTAATGGTCACATGTACATAATTATAAGTCACAACTTTTTATTGGTCACATATTATCAAATTGATTGGATACAAATTATTTCGAGATTAAAAATAAAAAAATTTGTAAGTGACATTATTTCGAAGTCACAAATCAAAAATTTTATATCTCAGTTTTTTTCATTGGTCACAAATTAAAAAAACTAAAGATCATGATTTATAATCGATCACGAATTTTCAAATTTATTGGTCATAAATTATTAAATTTTAATGTCACAGTTTAATAGTTAGTCGCAAAGAACCGAATCATTGGTCACATATGTTAAATACTCCTCCACCGATCTTAATTGACCACCAATACTTGGGTACAAATCAACCAAATAGTTGGTCACAATAAGAAGGGAAAAATAATAATAAAAAAATCCATCACACAGTCGCCACTTGCACAACACCACCATAACCATCACCAACAACAAAAAAAAACCAAAAAACAAAAAAAAAAAAAAAAAAAAAAGTAGAGTCGCAGGCAGCAACGTTCACAACGTCGCCATCTCTAGTAATGAATGGAGCGCCTCCGTGAGAAGGGAAAATGTGCAGTGGCGCACAAACCTATACAAATCGAAGAAGATTTCAACCGTAGCTTAATGTACAGATCATTGGCGCTGTGCTTCCGCTCACAGAGGCTCCAATCTCTTCATTACAACAGCATCATAGTGCTACTTTTGTGGTGGCCACGACGAGTGCTCCAACGACGACAGACGAAGAGGAGGACTTGAGAAGGAAATGAAGAAGATGGGGAGTGAGTAATTGATTTGTATAGAAATATTTAATATTTAATTATTATGTTAATACCTAATTTGTGAATAAAACTTTAACCTTGATTGTTGAATTGCAATAGTCAACTGGTATTATGTAATTTCCTCAATTGATAAAGCATTAGGCTTATTATAATTCATTTCATGGGACAATGACTTTTATTAAATTTTACTAAAAAATTATCTTTATGCAAACCAAACAGGAGCTAAAACTTGCAACAAGTTTGGTATTTTAAATTGAATTGAAAATTACCAAGTTTCATTGCATCTTCTCTAAAACCATATATCCTGTTTGGCCTCCATTTTATGAAATTCCACGAATTCATTTTCAATTATACCCACAACTTTTATCAACTTTTGAACAATTTATTTTATCAATTTATATCATAATCTACTCAAAATCGCATTTATTTTAACTAAATAAAAAAGGGTCTTGACTTTCTAAATGAGTTGTGTCCCAAAATTGAATAGAAGACAAAAATAGATGACTTTTTTTATTGGTAATAGGAGATTGAACAAATAGTTTCACCACTTCAGTTCTATTTTACCCACTTTATTCCTACGACATAAAATTCTTTTCCATGCACGTTTCTCATAATAGGATATATTTAATTGCGAGCATAAAACTTGCATGAAAAGCAAATAAATCACTTATTTGCATAAAAATTGTCAATTAAATGTGTTTAATTTGCTTAGTTTTCAACTAAAAAATGTTACATTTTTCCATGAAGTTTAGTTTTATCTAAATGTAAATTACCTATAAAATAAAACATACCCCTCTTAAAGAAAATGTTTTCCTTGTTTTTGAGAAAAATATTTTCCATGCAAAATATGCCAATCAAACACTCCAAATGTAGAAACTTGGATGAAAAACCGATATTTTCGATGGAAAATAAAGCTATCCAAATACACCCTTACTTAAATGCAACACTATTAACACTTGGCGAGTCTAATAACTTCTCTTAAGTTGACCTTCTAACACTATAATTTTTTATCACAGAATTTTCTCTGACATTTTTCCCTTTCCAGCCCTCTATTAGGAAACTGAACTGTTAACATGTTCTGCAAATATCCATAAAAAAAATAAAATAATAAAATAAAATTTGTTCATGCTGTTCTATGAATTTAAAGATAAATTCCTTAATTTCCTGGCTACTTCTCATTTGCTGATGGACAAAAAAGGTTATGAAGAAAAATAATAACGAAATGTTCAGAGTAAAATATCATTCAAAATTTGTGCAAATACTGCTTCAGTCATTGAAAATAAGTAATCCAACTACAAAGGCTCAAGTAAAGAGATGAGAAAACAGCTTTTTCTCTGCAAGGAGCAACATTATACAAGTACTGGATAAATATCTATACTGAATGATTACGCCACTACTGGATCTTAACTCATGTTCAAGTCAGCTGATCAATTCAGATTACTTTTCACCTACTCGACTTGGATGTACAAATATAGTGAAACACAAGAAACAGTCAACAACCTTCAATCTTCACATACTACGCAAAATGGAGAAGGTCGTGTCACCAAGGATGAGAGTCGAGATATATTACAGCTTAAGAAAAGCAGAAACAAACAGAATAGCCCAAGCAGCAGTTTCTCCTCTTCTCAGCAGTTCCTGGAAAACCAAGCTAAACTTTATAACTTCTCAATGCTCTTCTCACAGTTCATTTGAAATAGAGAGACAATTTACAATGTGCAGGAGGTGATGCGGGGTTTGAAAAGAGGGGTCAGCAACTTTCGATCAACAAAACCAGTCAATATTAGGAAACTATGGTCATATGGGGATTTTTTCCCTTTTCTTTGGGTGAAAAACACTAGCCTATTCCCCCACTGTACAGCATTCACCACATTAAATTTGCTCAAAATCTTTTAAAGGTTCACCGTTCTAATTCAACTGCTACTCACTAATTATTCATTCTAAACTCAAAATCCAAGCCTACATAATGCAATCAGCAAAACGGAATAAGAATTCTTTACTAGATGGGAACATCCATAATCAACAAGAGCTAAAGGATCCTTTGCTGAATTGAATGCTGTTGGCAGTGAACTAAATCAATTCGTGAACCATTCCTGCTGGATTGAATCAATTAAATGACTGGATTAGTGGACTTGAACCATTACAGCTAAACTAAAGACGCTGACCGTTAGAGCGGGATAAAGATGATTACTTTATTTCCTTTCCACATCATGGATCTTGCTTATTTCCTTTATTAATTTCTTGCTTTATTCCACATCCGAACATATCAGAACTCAGTTTTTTCTGCAATTAATTAAATATCATTGTTTTGGATTGCTCTTCCAATTCTTAATATTGATTTGTGGAAATCACCGCTTTCATTATTGATAATTCAATATCTTATTCATTGTGCTATACCATATTGGCATCAGAGCACGGTTCACTCTAAGGGATGGCACCAAGAGCAAGAGCAGAATTACATGATACCTATGTTGAGGTTGAACCTCGGGAAGAGATGTCTCAGATACAAAAAATAGATGGATATATTTCTAACATTTTCCGAAAATCGAAACTCTTTGGAAACTAAAAAATATTTCCTATTATTTTGGAAACTTCGGATCAAAATATTCAAATAATTCAACTAAAAAACTTAATTACGAGCTACAATCAAAAAATGGAGGCCATGCTATCACCGACAATGGTGTTATAGATGATGATAGCAATTACGTAATTTTAGGAAATTAACTCGAAAAATTGTGAAACTTTTTAATTTGATTATTTATTCCTTATGAATAAATTTTTTAAGATGACATCTCAAGATGACATCGTATATCTGTTTTATTCACATTAGATTGATTTTTGTACTCATTATTAATCTCCCCACTCCCCAAAGCTAGGGTACATAGATCTCTCAGATTATTCTACTTCCTATCAAATAGTTTTTTAAGTTAAATATTGAATTTATAAAAATATAGGAATACTTTTTAAACTGATTTCAGCTTCCTACTCTTTTAAGAAATAACAATCCCATGCGTCTTGTCGTATTTCCTTTTGCATGTGCAACCCAAGATGTAGCTTTGGGAATGTTGGGTGGGTATGCTGAGCATGGAAAATATTCCGACCAGGTGGGTTCACACACCGTTATTGGCAATCTAGAGGTGTCAAGGATGGTACAACTACAAGATAATGTGGGCGCAACACCGAAGGAACAATGGAAAGAAAGCTAACATCACTCGCAACGATGAAAGACAATTGGAGTCGAGGCTAAAATTAGACCTACCGGAGTTCGAAAGGAAATATCTTCCTTACCTTGCTCCAAGTCGAGGAGAATACTCTTGGTTTTAAAGAGTTTGATGACAAACAAGTGTCTTTGGTAGAGACTTGTTTTGGGGATGGATACCAGCTTGGTGGCAACAAGTCGAATCCAACTGTTCATGAAGCTGAAAATCCAAGATAGAATTGCAAATGAAATTGAAGAGACATCTCAAAAAAATGTCTTCTTTTCATTCAATTCCAATTGCACATTGTGCCAGCTATTTCAAAACTAAAGGCAAGAAGCCTAGTTGTTGGCAAATATTGGTTAGAATTTTTTCTACTGGCCTGCAATTGACATTATAGAGTGAAGAATAGAGTTAATGTCCATTGGAGTGAAGAGGCTCGGAGATGTATTAAACATGTTCGCATCTTTTGCTGTTTCATAGGCACATCGAAAGACCGTACAACTAGAGAACCAAACCACTTGGCAAACAATAGGACTTCTAGTTCCCATAGGAGATGATGGGAACATTTGTGAGCCCCCTTTGGCAGTAACAGCAACTACTACACAACACAATTAATCGGTCCTAGGTGGCACCACCACAACTCGATGGGACAGGAATGCACGAGGTGGGCCTCACTATTTGCCTGTATTGAATTGGTTAATAGACAAGCATGATGTCCAAAGGCTAGTTCTGAATCGGGATCATCTGCTAACAAAGAGAAATGGGAAGAATATAAAGGGGCACCAATTTTTTATGTTGGGGGTAGATGATGTCCTCCCTGAAGAATGGGGAGGGAGTTGGGTGACGTTGGACGACTCCTTGCCAACCCTAAAAGTAACGGCATCAACTTCCAACACAACAACATTTTCCAATCAACATTGTGGACAAGAAAGTGTGTTGTTTTATCTTAGACTTGTGGAGTTGCAAGAATGTCCACGAAAAAGTGTTGCAAAATTGGACCGAGACAACCTGGACCGTACAATTTAGCTTGATTAAAAAAGGTACAAAAGTTGTGGTAGATAAGCAGTCTCTTGTTAAATACTCTATTGGGTTAATGTATATGATTAAGGTTTGAATACTTGGGCTTCCATTTTTGGTAATTGGAAAGTGATATTATTACCAAATACGATGGAGGAGCCTCGCACCCCAACTGAGGAGAATGGTTTCTTATTGGCATAGAGGTGTCTTGAAGGAAAATTGAAGTTCGGAATTATTACCATATCCTTTGGCAATGAATCAACGGGAGGCTGATAGTGGAGGGTTTGTTGAGTTTGAACCGATAATTTCATTAAAGACATGTTGACAAAAGATCACTTGCCCGCTCATGAATATGGTAAGTTAGCAACAAATGAAATTGGGCCAGAGGAAATAGTGGAAATGATCAACCTAGAAGCATACCATCTCAAACTACCCGAGTAATATCAAAACGGCACGAGTCTTTAATAGGAAATGTGCGTTATTGAGTGGAGACTAGGATAGCTCATTGGAAGACGTTAACAACTCAAATTCAAGGGCCACTCTTTTTAACCCGGGAGAGAAAGATGGATCAAAAAAGTGGAACGAGAATTATTTGCTAAGTGGTAACAACTAAAACCGACAAAATCCAGTTAAGGCATCTGTTGATGAATTGAATGCTGCTTTTGGCGAATCATTGCCGACAGGATGGAATCAATTAAAAGGCTGGATAAATGGACTTAAATCATTGCAGCTAAATTAAAGAAGCTAACTATTGGTGCTGGATCAAAGATGATTGATTTATTTCCTTTCCACATAATTAATCTTGCTTGTTTACTTTCTCAAATTTCTTGCTTTAAGTTCCACATCCGAATGAATCAAAACTCAACTTTTCTGAAGGTGAAATTTCCCTCTTTATTTCGTATTGTGTTGGCACCGTCTGCTACGGTGAATGATGTCTTAGATATACATAATGGGAGGCTCAGTTGGAATATTGTTTTTGGCCGAGGATTACAGGATTGGGAATTGGACGATTATGCGTTGTTTTTTACTTCTTTGTACGAGGTCCACATCAGGAGAGACAGACTGTAGTAGGTGGAGATGGACACGGATGGGATTTTCTCAGTTGGCACTTATTTCAAATCTTTATTGGGTCCTGTGCAGAGTTCATTCCCTTGGAAAATGGTGTGGAAATGTAAACTGTCTCCACAGGTAGCATTCTTTCTTTAAACGGTGGTTAGGGGACAGGTGTTAATGGTGGATAATCTATGAACAAAATATTTTTATGTTATAGAGTGGTGTTATATGTGTCGGAGGGACGTCTCCATTGTGATGCTGCTCGTTTACCGTGGCACAATATTTTGGCATCACAACACATGGATTGGGTGATGCCGAGGCGTATGGAAGACATGTTAAAGGCATGGAGGAGAAATTTCGCGACAAGGATTGTAAGCTTGCATGAGACCTTATTCCAGGTTGCATTGTATAGTGTATGTGGAGAAAAAGAAACAGCCGCTACTTTGATGATCAAACACAGACAGCAGAGCAAATTAGAGAAATGTTTTATTTTACATTGTTTATATGCTTTAATGCTGTAGCTACTAGGCATATAGATAGGCTGCCCAATTTTATGTTATTCCCTCCTACTTTAAATTGATAATATACTTCCCGTGTATTATGCATTGATTAATAAAATATTTGATTACCTTTTAAAAAATAATAATAATAATAATAATAATGATGATAATAATAATAATAATAATATCTATTTGAACAGGCATTCACGGGATCAACCTTTTTCTTATTGATTATTCATTATCTTCTTCGCTACACTCCACCACACTTACACAATTCATTTATTCACAAATCTAGATTCTAAATGCCACTATGGATCCATCTTCAGCCGGAATGTATTAAAAACCATAATTGCAATGGCAAACAAACTTTTACCAGGTAACTTGTACACATCCAAAGACAATAAATTCTAGGAAAGAGAGAGAAGTAGCATAATTTAATCCAGTAAAGCTAATGATAGGTGTCTGTTTAGATTTGGGTGCATGGGAGTGCTAAAGATGCTTCCTTTTGAGATTGCTAAATTTTAGGTTTACCAGTTCGGAAGCAGCACAGATTGGTTGCTAAATTTTAGTTTTACCAGTTTGGCAGCAGTAACAGATTGGTGCTGCCTTTCTTTCTTCTCGCGTTGGCACTCTGCACACCAGCTGGGGAATTCTTTTTGATATTTCCTCAGCTCTCTGAATACAGAACTACAGGAAGAAGACATTGATATTAAAATTTGTGAAGATGTAATTACATCGGGAATAGTAAAACAATTAAGCCCATGTTTGAGCCACATTCTAGGAAAAAAATGCATTATTCATGTCAAATCAATGGAAAATGTGTGGTTAAAAAATAAGGAAATGTTTTATATTTGCGCATAATATTATTTTATTGAAAATGTGTGGTTAAAACTTAAAATGATGTCAAATCACTGTTGAAAAATATATTTTTTTGAAAATAATGTGGCTCAAACAAGCCCTAAATATGAAGATGGTAAGAATGGGATGGACAAAGTTAATTCCTATAATCACAGGAGATCTACAATAAATAAATAAATTAGTCACAGCTGGATGGGATGCAGAAGTCAGTCTGTCCAGGAGGCAATTACTTAGATATGTATATAAAAAAATGGAATTAAAGATACTAGAGGAAAGCCTGGACGGATATTGCTAAAGAGTAAATGGAAATCCAGTAATCACGAGTGACCTTGTACACAGAGGTGGCTACAAGAAGGGGGGTGGGGTGGGGGGACATTAAAAAATCTATTTCATGCATCATGCATGTCTGAACTTAATATTATTTATTTCTCTTTCCAACATTTATTAATCAGACATACATGATGCATGAAATGGGAACTAAAAGAGAGGAGAACAACACAATCATAAAAAAAAAAATACATATAAAGAAAGAAGACTTTCAACTTTAGCTGCATCCAAAGTGAAAGGACTCGAGAAGGCATATGAAGATGTAAAGCAAAATCTGCTTTTCTTGCATGGGAATGAAAAATAAGACGATCTGTAATCCTTTACATGGAAGGCATCCCCAGATATAATGCATATCCTTAACTCATTAAAAAGAAAGGAAGCCCTCCATAGCTGAATTGTCGGTGTAAAGGTTTATAATGTGAAAACAGAATTGAATTAAAAATTGCTAAAATGATGCAGACGGCATACATAAACATAATTTATTGTTGAAACCAAAGCAGGTTGTCTACATCAGTGACTCCACTTCATCAGAGAATTTCGTGACACATCACCCATAATTACCATTGCTTTGTTTGTGAAAGAAGACGCAACATCATTTAGTTATTTTCTTTCGCTGTACAACACATTTATACGATTTGTTTAATAGAAACCACACTGAAATTATTAGAATCCCCTTTGTCAATTTTTCTTCTTTTATCAGGAAGAATGCCAAGGTTCTTAGATGCAGAAATATTGACAGAAAAATAGAGCAAAGGGTAGGCAGTCACTTACCTTTTGCACCAAAGCAATAAGTTTATCCTATTTCCAGATGTGGTGGCTCTAGCACCATGCCGATGGCGACCGCGATGAAGAACTGCTCGTCCTGGGAGGTGAGGATAGTCGAAGATCTCCTATGAAATTAAAATTACAAATTCCAATTGAGTTGTCAAACACCGCTAATAGGCTGTGGCAGTATACTTTCTACTTCAAACTTGAGGCTGTGTAATTTAAATTTTCTTTACATATCAACACAGCGCTAGAATAGATTTGTAGACCAGTTTGACAGATCCATTAAAAAAAATTTAAAATTCTATAAGGTTCTTTCGTACTCCTATGCCAATCTGAACTTAGAAAACTCCCAATTCATATCCTGGTGGGTTGTAACTTGTAATAAATGGGTGCCAATCTGTTAACTGGTCAGAAACACACAGCGCTAAGTATCACAAGGAGTAATTTCTAAGACACTTCACTGAAAAAAAACCACTGAAATTGTAGTTCAAAAAACTATCTGAATCCGATACAATATGGATAAACCGATAAAACTTTTTTTAAAAATTAGGATACACGTGTATAGATATATATAATTCAGTATAATTTCATTAATATAAAAAAAATAAAACAGAAGCATAATAATAAAAATAAAATAAATACTAAAACATTTTATCTTAATCCTTAACTGTCTAAGGTTATGTTTGGCCACATTTTTAAAAAAAAATATATTTTTAAACAGTGATTTGACATCATTTCAACCACACATTCTACAATAAAATAATATTACACGCAAATCCAAATTTTTTCTTATTTTTTAACTATATATTTCTCATCAATAAACTATTCAAAAATGCATTCTTAGGAATATAATGTGGCTCAAACAAGGGCTAAATTTCATTTTCTTTATCATCACCAACATCATCTTCTTCATTATCAATAAAAATAACACTCTCCAACTTTGACTCATCTAATGATAAATTAATAACCTCAAGTAGCCCAACACCTTGAGTCTCAACTAATGTCCTATATTGTGGATTCTCCTTTTGAATAAAAATTTAATTTTCTATATAAATGACGATAAAAGCAAATTAATTTATTAAACATGAAGTGAAATTTGATTATATTAATGTATAATTTATTAAAACGATTTTACTTATATTAAACTATTATCTATTTTCAAAAATAAAAATATATTTGCCTACTATTAACACGGTTTTACATATATTAAAAGATTTACTACTATTGTGCATTTCCAATCAAATCTCTAAAAACTCTATGTATTTCAATTTTAAAGGAATTTAACACCAATAAAGTTCTTCACGTGTCCTAACGTATCCAATATATATAATAAATAATTTAAAAAATCGCAAATTTAAAAAATACAAAATATATAAAATAACAAAAACAAGCATCCGGTATGTATCGGAGCGTATTCAAACAAGTATCAGTGCTTCTCATGTCTTTCCAAGTCCAATTAAAAATGCAAGGCAAAAGCAGCCTGTAGAATGTCCAATCTGTTCGGATATAAGACGGAATGCAAAACTCGTTTTGTAGCTTGTTTTGCAAGATTGCAGTTTCTAAGCTTAAAAAAAAAAAGGCTTAGAGGATAGCAGAAGGTAACTGCAATTTTCACTATAATCAAAAAAGTATTACAGTTCAATTATAATTTATGCATTATCAGTGAAACCAGTCCATTAATGAAAACAAATAATTGTCCCCAAAGACACCAAGGTACAGGGAAAAATGTAAAACTACAGGAGAAATCACTTACCTCCGACTGAGTTTCGGTATTTACATGTTTCTCGCACCGCACACCACGGAAGAATAGTTCACCGCCAGAAAATTGCTTCCCTAGGCAGACATTCAAGGTGACTTCCGAGTCATCCACATGGAAACCTACAAAAGTGAAGCTCTTGAAACTCCTACAAAAGAACTTTTACGGAGTTCATAAGTAGAAATCAGCATAACCAAACAGTAATAAGACTAGCAGAAATTTCATAGTAACAGTACAAACTCCCAACTGAAGGTCGAGTATCCAAGAAACTTGATAAACAACTCTCATAAGTTCCATCTAATCGATAGGTAATATAGCATTAGAAATTCCCCACTCAATAGAACAGTATCATCATGGTTCATAAGCAGGTAAGAAGACAAGCCAAGACTCATCCAACAGAAGTGACTCTGATACCATGAAAATGACCCAGGCTAGATCACATAGCTTGACAGCTTGTTGGAGCCTGAAGTACTAGCGCAAAATACTTTAGACCAAAGTAGCCAACTAAGTCCCTTAAAACCACTAATGTAATTTCCCTAACCAATGTAGATCAGCACGTCAAAATTTCAACAAGGAAGGTTTAGCTGTGTTCAGAAACTTACAGACAGCAGATACCATATATAAAGAAGAGTCAAGGAACCAAAGCTAGGGTGTAGTCACCTACCTAGGTCCAAATCTCTATCCATTCCATATTCAACCACAAAACCATGATGAGCATCAAGTGTTGACCCACCAACTTCAGGAAAGAAAACTGCAACAGATTCTCAAGTCAAAGGATTATATTGAGGTCGATATCTACTCATCATACTTGATTCATTAGGAACAGAAAGATACCCTTCGATATAGGGCGTATGAATTCTTCCATGAACTTATCAAGCATGGTTTCCATACCAAAATCATCAAGAACGGCACCATACTTATTCATTGTATTAGGTCTCATGATTCTGAATTTTGTCTCATGGACCCACTTCTCAAAATTTTCTACCTAAGCAATCAGAACCTGATAAGAAAACATAAAAGCTAAACTGCTAGGAAGAATTAAGTTAGAATGCAGGATAACGATGAGAAGGATACAAAATACCTCAGCCAACAACATTTCGCAGAAATGTGGTTGGAGCATTTCAAATGTAAAAATTCCTGGAGTGGGTTCAGACATTATATTTCTAAAACCCTGTTCAGTGTTCTCATTGATTGCCTTCAGAAAAGAAGGAACAAAGAAGGTTGTAGCATGCATGGTGTAAAGCTCCATATGTAAGCGCTGAAAAGGCAAAGGTAACTTCAATAAATTGTTAGAAATTAATCAGCAATTATCGGCCGTACAACACAGAGAGAGAGAGAGAGAGAGAGAGGGTTCATCTTTGATCTTTCGATACAAAGTTGATATTTAAGCATTTCCACATATACAAGAATATCCTCCAACCATTTCAAGGTGTCAGTGGCCTAGCTTTGTCTAGGAGTACTAGATATCACATCATAGATTTTACATAAATATAGAACTTGCAAACTCAAAATTCTTTCTACACAGATAACTTTTTTCACTGTAGCAGGTTTAGAACAATCACTAGAAAAGTTGTAGCAGCCATATGTGGAGCAAAAAGGTTTCTTTATCCCTGATGTACCATATGCAATGTCCTTCATTTACAAAAGATCAATGCTTCAAGACATTCCTTAAATTAATGAATAAAATACTCATTCAAATTAGAATTGTTAGACTTGTCATCAATCAACGGTTTCAGACATGAAACGTACCTGATAGTTGGATATAATCTTTTGCCTGTATTCTCTATGCTTCTGGAACTGTTAAAATAGAGTAATTGTAAATTCAAATAGTTAAATTCGGGTGTCAACCTCTAAGACCAATGCAGTACCTCGTGCATTTCACAGTGTACTTTCATAATTCAATGCACCACATTCTTAACTTATAGACGCTTAGAACATAAACTATTAAAGTGATATATAAATCCACACCCACTCGCATTGGGCAGCGTGCCTTCCCACTCAAATTCAACAACTGAAAGGTAATACATCTAATGCATACACTGACCATATGCAAGTCTAAGACAGCTGTACTGACCCGGACGCGTTCACTTTCAGGGGAGTATCGGAGGAGGACATCACGCATGTACGTGACCTTCACATCACGAGACAGGGAGAGGAGGTTGGATGGAAGGTACCTCTCCAATGAGCTGAAGAGAAATGGGCTAAAATCCAAATCCAGGTTCTCATAGCTATCGGGCTTGTGATCCGCATTGGGGTTGAGCCTCAACCTGGTTGTTGTATAGGACGGTACCACGACCCCATTTTGCTGTCCACCGTTATCATCAGTACCGTTGCCATTGGAGTGAGGTAATACGGACCCATCAGACGCATTCCCGGTTGTTGGTTGAGATATAGGAGGTGGAGTTGGGTCAACGTGCCGATCCAGTGGTGATGATGTGCCGTCGTTTGACATTGTTGTGAAGTGAGAGAATTATGCGTTGATAGAGGAAAAATAGGGATTTAGGTGTGAAATGAGAGTGCAGAGATATAGTTTAGGGTTAGAAGGGCATTTTGGAGCGGAAATGGTATATGGTTTCGGGGAGAATGAAGACGACGATGAGAACTAGGGTTTGCTGGTGTTTAAGTTTTCTAGGTTGCACGAAGGCGAATGTGCTACTGATGGTGACGGTAGATTTTATTTGTTTATAAATTTGATAAACAAATTAGAGAAAAAATTGAGTTTTATGTTCCTCTATGACAATTTACTCTCCCAGTATTAAAATGCTTCCAAGTAATTGCTAGACTTTAATATATTGTTCCATGTTTCATTAGTAATCAACTTATACATCAATCACGCTTTATTCACTGAATTTACATATAAAAAAAATTTATTAAAAAAGTGTAGTTGAAAATGAGTTTTTTTTTTTTTTTTTTTTTTTTTTTTTTTTTTTTTAAATGGGGGTCAGACATAAACATAATTTCTCTATTTTATTTTCTTGAAGTAAAGGATTATTATGAAGTTCAATGATCGCTCGGAAATATTTTAAAATTGCCCTGATTATTGCGCGAGCTGAGGGGGAAACTCAGCAGAAGATCGGTTTGCAAGAAAGGCCTACTTATCCATGGGTTCGTTTGTTTAAGACGGCTGTGCAGGATCAATGAATAAAGTGCGACGAAGTTATAAGTTCAATGACTAATGAAACATAATAAATGAGTGACGAAATGTAACATGTTAAAGTTCAGTGACCCCTTAAAAGTATTTTAAAATTCAATGAAAAAATCGTAACGATGATATAACTTATAAGTTTAATGGCAAGTCATGAGTATTTTAAAGTTCAGTGAGTAAAATGTAGACGTTTAGTTCAATGACCAATAAAACATTCAACACGAAAATTTGAGGTCATAAAATGTGTATTTGAAAAATATCTTTGACAAAAAAGTCCTTAATTTCAAAAGTTGTGATCAAAGTATTTTGTGACTTATTAATTGGTCGCTCATTTAGCAACACACGCAAGAGGATTAACATCAACCCTTTAAACCTTATCACCGACTGGCAATCACTACTGTATACATGTTGTGAAGATACAAAACTTCAAAATAAAATTCAGTTCTTAGGAGAAAGTCTCATATTCAGCCAAAATATTAAAAATCACCCCCTTATTTAATTAACGTATCTTGTCTAGAAAGATGATTTTTGTCCAAACCTTTTGGTAATGTGTATTGAAATAAGAGGCAATAATTTGTCGAACATTTGTATTTGATGTTCATTTTTCTCATTTAAAATTACGAGATACAATCTTTCATGCTCTATTAACAATTTTTTTGGAACAAAATCATTATGAAATATAAGATGTATAAATTATTAGAAGGTTCAAGATACGAATGTGATGAAAAAATTGATGACATAAGTGCTAATATGAGCATAGATTGAGAATGTTTTTACAATTAGAATATGGTTTAATTAACAAATATTGGATGTGTGCATTGGATATGTGCATAATTACCCCCATACTATAGGAATATTGATATAGTGGATAAAAAACATTTTAAATATATTGCCTAAAATATAGCATTTTTCAAAAAGCAAATTAAAGTAAAGCCACTATCTATTTTGTTCATTGTGGAAGGGTAATCAGGGGCGGATTTAGGTGGTGGCCAGCTATAGCGGTCGATTCGCAAGAGAAATTTTTTTTTTTTTTTGCTCATAATACATTGAATTGTTAGATTATATATTTGATAATTCATATTAACAACAAATATCTTTGATAGCTTAGCTGGTTAGCCATTCCACTATTAAATTAAAGATCCTGTGTTTCAAGAGCAATATTTTTTATAATTTTTGTATTTTAACAATTTTACCAAAACAAATAAAAAGAAGATAACTCGAACCTGCTGCCTTTTTTAAATATATTGACAACTTTACCATCATGACACTTATTGATTTTTAACACATAATGTAACAAAATAACATTGTTTAATGCAAGTAGAAATATTTTAATCGGTGTTATGTCCCTCTTCTTGATTTTCTTTTTTTCCCTCTGATCAATTGATTTGAGAATTTGGTCAATTAATGGGAGATGAATTTGTAAAAAAATTGACTTTAGTGTCATAAGGAATCTTTCAACAAAACTTATTTATAATTAATAAAAGGTTCCACTTTTCGTTCACAAAAAATCAATTGCGAAAAAGTGGAATTTACAAGCACATAAAATTAATATAGGTACATAAATAATTTCAATTTTGTTAATATAATAATGCTTGTTTAATTAACTTTAATTGTAAACTAAATAGTGGTATTTTGTTAATATATATTGCCTATTTAATTGAAAAATAAATTAGGGTATTTTGCATATTATGGAATGATTTTTCATCAAAAATGAAAGTTCATATCTTGTTATAGTTTTAACGGTGTATCTAGTTCTAATCTGTACGATTTTTTGAATATTATTTAATTAAATATTAATAAACAATCCCGTTGTCACGGATGTTGCTCATCGATAGTAAATTTTCAATGCTCACAACCCACCTTAACTGAACTTGACCACTGGACTCCCCCCTGAGGGTAATTATGTTTGTACTATAAATACACTATATTCTAAATTCATTAAAAGTCCTTACTCGTATTTATATTTCATATATATTTCTTCAACATTTTTTATTGAATTCTTATAATCGAACTTTTATTAATCAGCACATATGATCCCTCATGACAACTTCTTTATCTAAAAAGATTTGTTTTCATGCTTCAAAACAAAGGGTAACATTAATTAATGCATGCTTTAAAACAAAGGGTAACATTAATTAATAGTACTTTGTATTTGTTATTTATTTTGCTTATTTAAAAATATGAGGATTAAATGAGTATTTTCATGCCCTCTACAATTTTTGGGTAAAATTCATCAACAACGTCATTATACGATGATTAACAGAGAATAATGATAGGAATGTATTAAAAATTAAGAACATAAATATGATAATAATGAGGGTGTCCTCGATCAAGAATTTAATGGATTTTAAAAGTTCATATAAATTGAGGTTTCCTCAACTTAGAATAAAATATAGGCGTCATTAACTTAGATTTTTAGAAATACTTAAAAATTTAGGTACCCTCAACTTAGATTTTTAATATTTCTTTAGAAATTTCGATATCCTCAATAACTAATTTATTAAAGATTTCACTAATTTGAAAAATTTTAAAAGATTTCCAACTATAAATATAAATACCAAAAATCTGTAACAATTCTATCTCTCAAAATTTCACAGTTTTTCTCACCTCTCTTCAGCTAATCTCTCTCTTTCTGTTTCTCTCTCTCTCTATTGTGAACAAGTTTTTTGCCTTTCCCTCTCTCACATTTCTCTGTCGTCAAGAGATTTATGTATGTGAACTTATCAATTGATGATAATTTTTAAAAATTTTAACACTATTTTTTGTTGAAATTGGGTGTTATTTATTTTTATTTTTTTCAATCGGGTTGATTATATTATTGAAGTTGGATACATATGTTGTTTTATTACATTATTCAAATGTTTAACAAACAATTCGATAGGGATTCGATCATTTGGATTCTGTGATTTATTAACATGCGTATGTGTAAGAACGAGTTGAGTAGTATTATAACACCCAAAATTTCATAAATCTTGAAGTGTTATAAAAAAGTACTTCTCTTTCTACAAAACGATAAAATAAAATTCTTTAGTAAAAAAAATATAAACGGAACATTCATAGCTTAAATTAAATCATGGAAATTATATCTTTAAAAATAAACATAATCAACTAACTAATTAAATAACATGTCTTTGAAAAAATTAAACTAACTAATAAATTTAAAGATTGAAAATTTTAATATTTATTTTTCCTTTTTCTTCGATCCACTTGACAGCCCGCATTACCATCGTACCACAAATCCAATTGGCCCTGCACTAATCTATAAAATTATTATAAAAGTGAGTATTTAAAACTACCCAATAAGATATGTGCAGTTTTCATAAATAATTATATAACAATCAATTTAAACACTTCATACCAGTCTTCTTTTATGGAGTATATCAATGGTCAAACAACACACCCATCTTAGATCATTCTAAATTTTTGAAGGATTTTATATCTCTTCTTCAAGAACTCGAATGTCCACTGGCAATTTATGAATAAATGATTGAATACATAAATGTGCACAAAAACAAACTACTTGCACAAAATTATCTTACCTCGTCATTGAAAATGTTGAAAAGAATATAACATATTGTGCGTAAAAATTCTCCTATTATTTTTTAATACTTTTTCCTCTCATATCTCTTTTCCGTAGGTCTCTATATTTTCTGTGATGAAATAATGGGAATTTTGTAATATTTAAAGTTGAAATTCACTATTGAATTTGTATTCAACTAAAATTGGAAAAATCGTGTAATAAAATGAATTTCGATAAGAATTGGTTCCAAATAATAGAATTAGTGTTATATCATTTCAATGGTTTTCCTAATTAAAATAATCGACCAATCCTAATCATCCAATTGAATTTATAGGACGTTAATTTGAAATTGGTTCCATTTGACTTAGTATGCTAGGGTTAGAATTGAAGTAATGAAAAGTATTGACGTTTTAATAAAATTAGGATTACAATTAACCGTTGTCAAAATTAGAATTACAATTATCTCTTCTTCCTTTTTTTTTTTTTTTTGGTCCTAATCCAAATTAAAAATGCATCTATACACGTGGCCACAACAACTATAAAATCAACAACCAACTTAATTAAATATTAATAATTAATAACTTCTTTAAACTTAAATATCTTGGGTCTAACTTATCCAAATTAAGTTTTTCTCGCAGAAAAGATTTCTAATTAATTACAAGCTGCAAAATGTCTTATATTGAGATATTAAAACTTGTTTTATCAAAATCTAATTATTTGATTAAAAAAAAAGTATAAGAATTTAAAATATATTTCACTTTAGTTCCTCAACTTTTCAAAATTATGGATAGGTACCATTAGAATTTTGGGATGTTACAAACTCTCCTCCTTAAAATGAATTTCGTCCTCGAAATTCGTACATGTATAAGTCCAATTATGCTTAATCGTTCACTGATAATCTATCTCATTTTATGCTCGCATAAATAATATTTATATAAAATATGAAAATTGTACAATTAATAAATTATACGAGGTAAACATGCATATACATTTTAAAACATGA